ATTCAACCAAACCGCAATACGAATGGAACCAGAAACCCATTCTGACTGGAGCTACTTTACCAAAGCAGAAATAATCAATAATATAATACCTACACCCGAATTGCAAATACAACTGAATAACATATTTTATTCAATAGAAAATTACGACATGCTAATGCGACTTAAAAATGACAAAGAAAAAGAATTAGACTCCGAAGACGAATCTCAATTCGAAGAACTCAACCTATTGTATTTTCAATCCGATTAAATTGGACCTAAACTTATTTTTCTTACCCCGAATAATCCGGTAAAATAATTTTTTCCATCTTGAGATAGCTCTTATGAAACTAACTCAGGGTTATTATTATATTAGTCAACATCTAATTTAAAAAAACTATTAGACTAATTAATCTAATAAGTCTTATATGTATAATAGTTTAATTAAACTAACTCTATTAATTCAAATGTATATATATATCATAAATAATTTGCATAATTGTATGAAGTATTTATAAAAATGATGAAATGGTAAAAATAAATAAATGAATAAATAAATAATACAAACAGATAATTGCAGGATCTATATAAGCAAACTTCCAAATTTAAAAAAAAAAAAACAAAGTCGACAAGCTACTTATACTGTTATTGTTTTGAATCATATTAATTGTTCATAACTCCGATATCATTAGTAACAGGTGTGATTATATCTTTATTAGTTATACTATCACCATTTAAAGATGCACAATCATTACCAATTAGTTTTTCACCAATTTTAACTTCTTTACGTTCATTATTATCGTTCCTTCCATCATCTGACATTACTTTTAGATTTTGAAGAAGTGTCTGCGATTTCTTTTTAAAAAATTCATTTGTTTCACCTTCAACCTTTTCAACCTTCTTGGGTTCCGGGCGCACTGTTTTCTTAAGCTTTGGCCATGTTGATGGAAGAGGAAGCGGTGGCGGGCGTGCTGATGGTAACAGAGGCGCTGCTGTTCGTAATGACGTTGATGATGATGGTGACCTTAAAGTTGA